ATATGTATGTATGCATGCATGCACTATGGCATGAGTTGACGCCAAGCTTGAGACTTCCAGTCAAGGCGAGCCGTGATCAAAGTGCCTGCAGCTGCAATTGCAAACTCTGAACGGTATAATCGAGCCCCAAAGCGTCTGCCATGGTGTCTCAATGCCGTAAGATTGGGTTGATGTAACATAGCTTCTAATAGCTTGGCTCTTCTGTCTTGGTTGCTTCACCCATTGTGCCGTGTACCCATTGAAGTTAGCATGCGTTCTCGATCCCTCTCTGTCGCACCCTTTCAGTCAAGTAGTAAGTAGTTTCCGTGCGCAAATGGGCTCTCTGCGGCCAATGCCGAGTGCCCCTGCACAAGCCGCCCGATTTGCTGTCCAGCAAGGATACCCTCCACTGAGATATAAAAAGCAAGATCTCTTTTGGTGGATCTAGCTTGTTGCTACTGAGCAAGGGAAATACAGTGTAACCAAAAAAGCACAACACCACCAAGGAAAACCGTCGATTAACGAATGAGCGAACGAAGCCAAACATACACCGTGTATCTGTATGTAAACGCGAACAGGGAGATTTCTGCAAATCCAGATCTTTGAGCTTATTAAACAACTCAGAACGATTGTTGTTAGCTGCTAGCATCGCCGTTGCGCACCTGCGATGAATGACTAAGCAATAGAACAAGCAGGTATATCGGGAGAGAGAGAGAGAGAGAGAAATTGTGTGTGTGTGTGCGTGCGTGAATGTATGCACATATGCAGGTTGAACTTTCGAACTCCTCTCTCCCTGCCTAGGTAATCTGCTAGCGTCGACACCACTGCCATCTCCTGGAGGCAGCACGGTGCATTCATGGCGCCAAAAACAGAATCTCTCACTTGTTCAGTTCGGAACCTGTGGTTAGCCAGTCTTAACAGGCGAAGCAGCTTTGCTTCCAGCATGACTGGGCAAGCACCTTCGGTGGCCTGCATGACGGGACTGGGGCTGCGCCAAGGACTGCTCGACCAGGCAGAAAGAACTCTCAAGCCAGGGAAAGATACGACCAGCGTCCAAAAGATGTGCAAAATCAGCCGAGCCACAGCATCGTCTTGCGTGATGTTCTGGCGGGGAAAGCCCAGCCACCCGGTGATGACGACCTCTACAGAAGCACTAGACATGGCAAAGCTTATCTGCATTGAAGCTGCAAAGGCAAAACCTACAAACTGCAACGACCGCTGTTGAGTCCGGAATCCTAAGCCCACCTGAGTCGCTTCAACTTGCGAAGCTTGTGCCAGCACCCTGGTTAAAACCAAACCTCAAACCCTAAGACCCAAACCCCACACCCCAAGCCCGAAAACCCTTCCCGAACCTCAACCCTATTGAATTCTAAACCCTCTAACGCCTGTTGAAAACCTATGGAACCCTTACACCAGCAAGGGGCCATGCTTTCGTTGCTGGCGTTCCCTGAAGTGCTCTCAGGGACCATCGTCATCCTTACATGTCAAGGGCTGAGGCGAAGTGCCCAGTCAGGGCCTTTAAAGCATACATGTTATGCTATACTATCGTATCTAGTCTTATGTCATTCTAGATTATGCTACGCTATGCTATTATGTTATGTTGCGTTATGCTTCGTGTTCAGTTTTGCAAAGTAAATTATTTTTCGGCTGTAGTACAATATGACTGTATTATAACACGCTAGTTTGCATCATGTTGTACCATGTTTGTCATGCTTTGATATACCATGTAGAGTAGCCTTATGTTTCCTTAGAATAATAAGCAGTATCAATATGTAAGACAACAGATTTCGGCAAGCTACAGTACTAGATGATATTGCAGCACACCACATCTACGGCACTTCCTCATGTGCTATTATACTATGGTGCGACACAGCATGCAGTATTTCTGTTACGTTATAGCACGTTCCATTCCATTTAGCTCTGTTGTCTTCTTGCTGCACCTGGTTGGTATTGCCTTTGGTTTTTTGATTTCGTACTTTCCCTGCAATATATGATCGTTTCTTCTTGTGTTTCTATGTGTTTGTTACATATAATAAATAGAGTTATACATATAAGCATAAGTTCAATCAGTTAATAAACAAATAAATGAACACCCACATTTATACTCTTATCTATTTATTGATCTATATATATATATAGAATAAATAATTACACCAGCGAAGACCCCAAACAGCAATAAATCAATCAAGATGTTGCGTGAATTTCGAACAAGACAGCAAACTCGAAACGACAACACTTTGTACAGGACGGAGACAACAGTTTAGGATTTAAGGTTAAGGTTCAGGGTTAGGG